ACCCGTCGGAGTGGCTAACGCAGCCGCCATATCTGGACGTCGACGCTTGGTGTACCTTGTAAGATTGACAAGGAAGTTGTACTCTTCAACGCTCGTCGTGGTGAGTAAACAGCAAGCACGCGTGCCGTGGAGCAGAAGAACTGTAAGTCGGGCTCGATCCAACGATCCTGCAACCACAAACAAAGAGAACACCTGCTGACCTGGAAGAGCACGCCGATGGAGCACTTGTCGCAGCTGTGCGACCGATGGCCCCGCGCGCCCGCGGCCCAGACAGTACAATGCGCGAGAATTCACAAAGCCTGACAGCACGATGCGGCTCGAGACGAGTCCCGACGGCACCCAAGGCTACCCGAAGGCAACCTTGGTTACCGCGGGGAACTCGTACAGCGGACTCTCAGGTACTCAGCTGTGGGTCCCAGATGGCTCCTGCGACGCTTCACCGACGCCAGATGATACGTGAGATGCGTGAAAGAGCCCAGAAACGACGACGCATCGACCCCCCAGTGGCCTCGCAACAGCCTCCACAGCGCCTCCATGTTCCCCTGGACAGCTCGTGCGAGAACACGAAATACAAAAGACGACGTGTACGGAGTGATCTGGGTCCTGAGACGTACCATCCTCATTCCCTCTCTCGCTTGTGCATGCTGCATGCTGCGTCGCCGTGGACGGACGAGAGGGATACTTTCATTCGCACTCTCAATTCGAAGGAAGCCCGAGAGCTCACCAGACACCGTGAGGGCGGACGCCCTGCGGGTTCCCACCCGTGGTCGCTCCAGTTTGAGACGGTTGGAGGAGCCTACTGGTGCGTTAACTTGACTTGGGATTAGGACGGGTGGAGATACTTTGTTCGTACGCTGCTGGGTACTTGGGACCTGCCGCATGTGCTCCTATATCGTGTCCTCAGAGATCCCAAGGGGCCCTACAGGGTGGGGGCGGAGGATCTTACGGTGGAGGAGAGGCGTAGTGTGGAGGAGGCGGAGAAGGAGAAGGCTACATAACGAATTGCGCTGAACGATCAACGACGGTCATGGTGGGACTTTGGGTCGAAGGGTTTACCTCTAGAGATCTCGGGGGACTCGCTGGTGATCTGTAACTGGGTTCATGGTTTATTTAGATGTACTTCTGATGTGTATTCGACGACGGTTTGTGCCATTCAAGATTTGTTTTATTCGATGTCTGTGGATATGCCCATGCACATTCGGGCCCCCTCACTGAAATGTGATATTGCCAACTGGATCTATCGGGAAGGGAACGCGAGAGCTGACGAACAGACCTGGATGGCTCGGTGGGGCCAGGACCACTTGACAACCGATGATCGGCTATCAGCAATGAGTGCTTCGAGCGTACTTGGAGTGAGAGGCTTCTTTGTTGGAGGCCGTTCTTCTGAGGGTTGTGGCGGTGGTTGGGTTCTCGATCTGTGCATTCTCCCATTGCTTCCTTTACGTCTTAGTCATCTTGATGGCTCCGCCTCTCCGAGTGGCTTCTGGTGGTGCAGTGTTGCCTCAAAAAGCCTTTTGTCTTCCGCCCTCGTGTGCAGTGACTCAGGCTGAACTTCTTGCTGCAAAGCACCTCCTGAAAGGTGTGGTGGCGGCCCCTCAGGCGCTTGGCCCGTTGCGCCCCTTCTGCGTTAGGCTGTGAATCGAGCGGGCCTGAACTCAGGCCTGTGGCTCTGCGCAAATCAAAAATCGAGGTTGACGGATCGCCGCCGGCCCCCAGTCAGATGGCCGACCACCGCGCGGATCAGGTGCCCTGAGGCGCGACCTCGCCGCAGCAGCTCCTCGATGGCGAAGCGCAGCCGCCGCGCGGTGCGCCCCTTCATGGCGAGCCAACGCCCGCGCCGGAGCCCCATCCCAAAGGAAGCTGCAGAGTCGGCCGCCCGCTCGGGCGCGCGCGCGCAGCCCCGCGCCCTCCAGCTCCGCCGTGGCGCGGTCCAGGGCATCGTTGGAGCAGGCCTCGTCGCCACTGACCGCCAGGTAGGTGTCGACGTAACCAGCGACGGCGGCGCGGCCGCCAGGCTCCAGGACGACACCCGGGAGCTCGTCCTCGATGATGAGGTGCCCCAGCGCGCGCGCGACGACTGCGCGCGCGGCCAGCTGGCAGAGGTGGAGCGCCCTCGTGAAGCCCATCGGCAGCACGACGAGGCAGGCCTGAAGGCCCCCCCCGCTCGGGAGCCCCGAAATGCCACGAGCCTCGGGATGCCGCCTATCGATCGGCAGGAGCCTGAAGTAGCTACACAGGCCGTCCGGCATCCGCAGTCGGTAGAAAGCATGACTCGTAGAGCTTCCCTAAGAACGAAGCGGCCCGCTGGGGGGCTAGTTGGCCCGAGAAATGTCGACGGACATTTTGCATACTTTTGGTCGGTTGAAAATTATGTTTTCGACATTAAGCCGTTCGTTGGAGCTATCATATTTTCCCTTTAGTTCGATCTTATTCCCGCTCGCCATCTTAATCTCAGGTCGATCGGGTAGATATTACTGTCAAAAAGCACTCAGGCGGGATCGGCTGTTTAGTGTCATCTTGGCAGGTGCTGTCGGTTTTCTTAACTTAACTCGAGCTGTAGACGAGCTACAGAGCTGACAGGCACCCTTAATCTGTCCATAATCATCAGGCGCGCTAGTCTCAAGTATCTAGATGTCCGATCTCGGTCTGCAACCAGAGCTAGGACCAACAAGCTGTTCGTACTCTGCTATTTTTTTCAGGATGTGAGGCTGATTTCCCTAATGCACCTCAAGCTGCAGATGAGGTGCAGAGCTGTTCGGCGCAGCAGTCGGAAGGTAATTATTTCAAGCGCTAGTTGCAAGTAACCAGATGCCTGAACTCGGTCTGCTACCAGATCTGGAACCGAAAACTTATTCGAACTCTGCTAATGTTCCCCGAGATCATGCTTATTTTCTTAACCTGAATCGAGCTGCATATGAGCTACAGATCTGTTCGGCAGAGCACTTGACATAACATCCAGAGGCGCGGTAGTTCAAGTATCTAGATGCCTGAACTCGGTCTGCTACACGAGCTGGAACGAAGCAACTATGTGTACTTTGCTAGTTATTGAAGAGATAATGATAGTTTTTTTGCTACTCCATCTGATCTGAAGGCTGGCTATGGACCTGCAAAAAACATTTGTCGAAGCTGAAGGTAGCCAGGTGCTTTCGCCTACAGTATCGAGGCGTCTGAATTCGGACTGCAACCATAGCTACGACTGGACAATTATTCGCGCTGTGAATATTTGACCAGAGATGATGTGCGTTTCTGAATTGAATTCCTTCTTCTCCTCCTCCGCCTTCTCTTTCTCCTCTCCCTTCTCCTCCCCCTCCTCTTCCCCCTTTTCATCTGCTTCTTCTCCTCTTTCTCCTCCTCCTCCTTCTCTTCCTCCTCATCCTCGTCCTCCTCATCATCGCATCGTCCCACTTCTCCCCCTCCGCCCTCTCCCCCTCCTGCCCGTCATCCTTCTCTTCCTCCTCCCTTCCTTCTCCTCCTCTTGCTTTCTCCTCCTTCTCCTTGTCTTCCTCAGCCTCCTCCACCTCCTTCTCCTCCTCGCTCTTCTTCTCCCCCGCGCCCCCCCCCATGAAACCGCCCCCTCGCGCGCGCGGGGTGCGAGGTTGCCGCGCCCGCATCCCATTCATGCATGTGGCAGGGAAGCTCTACGAGCTCCCGGCGGTAACCAAGGATGACTGTTTACCGCCGGCTCCCAGTTGTCGATATCCCGCGCGTCGATGACCAACCTGCCGCCTGGCGCCTCCAAGTTGGCGAAGGCCGCCGCTTTCGACAGGGCGGTGGCAGGCGGGCCCAGGAAGTAGGCATTGGCAGTGCGAGCGTCGAATATCAGTTTCAGACGATCGCTCTTCTTTGCCGCGCAGAAGACCCCAATCGGCTTCGCGCTGGGCTCCTCGGCCTGGAAGCAGATCATCTTGCGCTTCAACATCTGAGCAAGGAAGTCGGCGTGGGTCGCCGGCGAAAAAAGAGAGGCGCGGGTCCACGTAAGACCCGCGAGAAGAAACCTGTTGCAGGAGGGCGTCCGCTTCTCCCTGGTCGCACAGCATGCTTGAGCACCAAGCCCTAAGCCATTGAGCGCCCGGACCACCAACGACGCTCGTGAGCGCCCTGTCAGATGGAAATCTACGGGGGAGACCGCTTCTCCGACGGGCCCCACCTGACGGAGCTTATACGGACGTGGCAATGTGGATGGCCCGACCCCAGAACGTACACCTCCGGACAACATGTGGGCCCGCATGCAGGGAGGAGGCTTCGACCAAGTCTCGGGGCAGACAGTGGAGTTCCTACGCTGGAAAGGCTGGCAACTCACCGAATGCGACATGGTAGGTGGCGCCAGGCAAATGAGGGATATCCTGTTCCCCGAAGACTGGGGCGACATTCCCCGCGGCCGCCCACGGCCAGACACGCCGCAGGACTACGTCTGCTCCCCCGGCACCATGGTCGACTCCTTCTACCCGAGATCCCTTCAAGGCACTCCCATGTCGCATCGACGCCAACGCGTCAGTCGGCGTTGCCCCCGCCCTGGCCAACGCCCTCGGCCCCGCCCCTCCGCCCCCGGCCGACCCCCTGCACTGGCCTCCCGGAACGCTTCTTCCCCGCCAGTCGGGCGTGGACCCACCCGACATAGGCGTGGGGCTGGCCCCCGCCGCCCAATGCGGGTCGGCTAGGGCGCGGAGCCGCCCCCCGCGCAGTCCGAAGACCCTGGCCAAGGCGTGGGCCCAAGCACAAGCTCCACCAGACTCTCCCCACCTTGCAGCCGCAATAGGGATGCAGCAGCCGTGCGAGCGCCCTGCGACGCATTCGGAGGCGAGGACGCTTGTCTTGTTTCCCGTATGTCAAGTCCCAGGTGCCATCCGTCCCCCCTCCGACTGGCCCCAGGCACTAAAAGAACGCGGCACGCGCCGTCAGCGTATCATGTGGATCTGGAGCAGAGCCCTGCTCGAACCATGCGATGACGGGGCCGATTGGACGCGCGACGAGCTCGGGAGCTCCACGAAGCCGTTGAAGAAATGTACAAGAAGGGGTGCGAGGCGCAGGACCTGTTCGGCGCCCCCCTCTCCGCCGCCATGTACTTCCCGGCATTCAGGGGCGCCGGCGTCGCCGACGAGCAGGCTGCCAACCAGGTGCAACTTGGGCACGACGTCGGCGCAGCTCTCCGCCGCCGCGCGGCGATCACCCTTGGCGCATCCATCTACGACCCCGACGCGTCTGACACCGTCCACCCCAACACAGAAGGCGTTCCAGCAATCATGAGTACGCACACCATCGACGAGTGCGTCTGGCTGGTGTTCCAGAGGGCCAGGTCAGTGCCGACCGTCCCCCAACTCAACCGCGCCGCCGCGGCCCTCTCCCTCGACCTCTCCAAGCAGGTCCTCCACTCGTGCAACAACCACTTCGTCATCCTGGTGCGCGGCCGTCCCCAGCTCCGGGAAAACAAGCACCATCGTAGCGTTGATTGCAGCGTTTGTCCCCGTTCTATGCACTGGCCAAGCCGTCGGCGTCTTCTCCGGCTCCAACCCCGCAGCTGATCAATCTCTCTTAGCCTTCGCCTCGGCCAAGGACAATGGCCTAGTGGTCGACACTCGCTTCGCCCGCGGCCACGCGCGGCTCGCTCGCAGGGACACGTAGACCGCGACCTGGTCCACCTCACCCCTGAAGGGCACTACGTCGGCGCCTACAACACCTCCCCCCCCGCGTGCGGCGACGACGCGCCGTGCAATATCTTCAAGAAGGACCTGGTGCAACGTGCGGGGACCATCTGCGCGACGCACGAAGTGGCCGCCGAGCTGAACGGCAAGATACCAATCTGCATCCTACTCGGGATCATCGATGAAGCCGGGCAAACAAGCGAGGTGACTGCGGCCATGTCCATGGTACATGTCATCCGCCGTGGGGGCCACCTCGTGGTCGTCGGCGACCCCCGGCAGCTCCACCTATCGTTCTATCCAAGCAGGCTGCAGACCTGGGCCTCTCCCTATCCATCATCCAGCGTCTGCGTGATTCTCTCGGGTATCAACCGGGAGATCAAGACAGTGCATGCATTACACTTGCTCTCATCTTCAGCATGCACCCTTTCCTCGCGTTATTCCCTTCCATTGCGTGTTACAACCGTGAAGTGCTCAGTGGGCTCACTAACCTCCTCGCCGAACGCCCCCTGGTGCCGCGCCTCCCCTGGCCCCAAGTTGCTGACTTTGACTTTGTGCGGTGTGGGTCCCGTGCCGAAGGGCTCGGGATCAGTGTCGGCGACCTGATAGGGGACTGCAACGGGCTCCACCCACGCGTCCCGAGTATGTCGGAGGATGCCCACCGTACCTTACTGGTGGACAATAGGTCGTACGAGCTGACATCGCACCTAGCCGAAGGATACGCCAACATCCCAGAGGCTGCCCCAACCGTCGGTCTCGTGCGGGCGTTGCTACCAGAGATGGCTAACGGCTTCGCCGTGAAGGTCATCGTCCCGTATAGGCTGCAGAAGGGAATCCTCAAGGACGGTTGGCCGCTCACCCGCCGAGCCCTGCAAATAGCGATGAGAGACGACAAATGCACCGACGCTCCCGGCCCCGACGCCCGCCCGCCCCTCATTCCCCTGCCCCCACGGCGGGCTGCTTCACCGGGCGCTACTGGCCGCCGCCGCCGTGGCGCCTCCGCCCCCCCCGCCCCCCAGCTGCCGCCCCTCAACGTAGCCGCTCCCCTGCTGCCTCGTTCCAGACCTCTACGTGCGCCGGCGCGATGCCCCACCCCCGGGCCCCGACTACATCCCTGAGGGACATGGCCAGGGGGCAGCCTTCGCTCACTGGCCCACTGGCGCCAACGACCTGAACCTAGATTTCCCGGGCATCCGCCAGATTGCCCACCAGCACCTTGCCTCGGGACGGCTCACCCTTTCCATTGTGGACGCCAGCCAAGGTGGCGAGGCCGACCTGGTCATTTTCCTCACTACGCGGTCCAACTCCAACCACGCGTGGGGCTTCGTGGACAAAGCCAACAGGGTCAACGTTGGACTTGCGCGCGCCAGGCGGGGCATCGTGGTCATCGCCGACGGCCGCGTGATGCCCTCCATGGCCGATTCCAAGCGACGGTTGCTCTCCAACTACGGTCGCCTCGCAGGCCTCCGGATGCGATTTCTCACCCCCCCGGCCAGGGCCCAGGCAAGCGCGACGAGCTGCGCATCGACGCTGACTTCGACCCTATCGGCGACCTTGCCTCCAGGGTGCCGCAGGGCTCCGACACCCTCGCCGCCAACGAGGCAGACGACAGCAGGACTCGGGCCGCCGCCCAGGAGGTGGCAAAGAGGAGGGACGACCACGCCAAGAGCTTCAACGTGCAGTACGACCTCCCCCTGGAGAACGAACTGCGCCCGGGGGACCTCGGACTTCGGTTGGAAGCAGCTCTCGAGGAACGCCTTGCCGACCCCGCCTTCTCCGTCGTCCTCTTCCTAGTGGCGGGGCTCCACCCCCGCAAGTGCAACCTCGAGGGGTATCCCCTCCAACGCTGCGCACTTTGATAGGAAGGCCTGGAGCCACCTGAGCTACCTACTCGACGCAAAGCTCGGACTGGACGCTGTCAACCTGGTGTGCAACATGACCTGGGCCACCCTGGTTTCCTCCGTTGGCGTAGGCACCGACTGGAACAGCCCGTTTTGCCAGATTCCGGACAAAGGGCTACCTCCGAGACCGCAGGTCCAAGGCCGGGCCGCTCGGCGACCCTAGAACAAGAACCGTTGCGCCCATCGCGGCCTCCCGCGCCACGTCCCCAGTGCCTGGTCCTAAGAGACCCGGACCTGCCCGCGCCACCTGGTCTACCCAGACTTCGAGATGCTCGTCAGCCTTCTGAAAGGTCACGACGGAGCCACGCAGCACCGCGTCGAGTTGCGTAACCCCAACAACCGCGTCATGTCCACCGAGAGGGCCTGGTGCGCCCTCATCATCATGCTGCTCATGAAGCGCGAACCTCGCACCCACCTTTGGCCCTTCCCTGACCCTTCTGGATCTGGGGACATGCTGGAAGCCGTCCTCGGTGTATGCTGCCCGTGGCAGAACGATTTCCACCTCTTCCGGTCGCAGTTCGCGTCCTCCTGGGGGCTCCAGCTCCCCGACCTCTGCCAGCTCCACGGAAGACTGGAGAGGCTGATTGGCTTGGTGGCCAAACTGTTGACCTCTGCCCACCACCGCCCCACCGCGAGGGCTGCCCAATGCCCCACCACCTACGCGGGCATGGAGACCTCCCCCTTTAAGCTCAAAGCCCCGATATCTGGTCCTGGAGGAGATTGTGAAGCCATCCGACATCACTACCCTCTCACACACAGGGTGCAGTTTTTGTTGTCTTCACCGGGAACTCACAGGCAACGACTGCGGCCCAGGGCCAGACGATTGCCCCTTTGAGATTTCCTTCCTCAGCGGGGGATTCTCGATCGGACTCGCCCCCCTGGACAGAGCGCTGCCACCAGCCCCACTCCCCAACGTGAAGAAGACCCCTGGCTACCTGGCCTCAGGCGACACTCGTTTCAGCGCTGACCGGAGATCGGCCAGGTACAGGTGTGACGTGTGCAACAAGTCCCCCCTCAGGCACAACGAGGGCACTTGGCTTGACGACAATACACGCTCGTATCTTGCAACTAACCCCCTACAGGCACACGACAACGGGTTGAATTGCAGATGGCTTTGCGCTCAGTGCTGGACAGAGTCGGCAGAGAAGGAAGGCCACCTGCTCTTCCCCGACCGCTACTTACCCGGCAACGTACCGGCCGTCGCACTCGCTAGGAACTCTTCTTGGCCCCCGGCTGTGGGCACGCTGCCCCCCGCCGCCTTCCAGTTCGCGCCCTCGGCACTCCCCCCCGCAACGACTATTGGCGGCCTAGTTGATTTCCTGCCGGAGCCAGTAGGCCTCCACGTCCCAAAGAATGCCAACGCTACCTTACCCCCCGCGTGGATAGAGGACGACAGGTTCGGGTGCACGGCAGCAGAGTCCAAGCGCTACACGGTCACGTGCGACGGGTGCCCACCCAGTGTTCCCCCGCTCTCCTGGGAGGCTGGTGCGCCCGCGCTCGGCGGCCTCCCAGCGTGGGGGGACCGAGCCGTCGCCTGTACCAACCGCAGCTGGAACGCCACCTGGATGCGCCACCAATGCCTCGTTCACGCATGGGGCGCCAAGCCCAGTGCAGTCAACGGGCTGGTCGACCAGGACTCCAGTCTTGTCTTCCCCCGCTTCCCCACCCCCAAGCCACGTTCCGTCCCGCCGGTCCCCGACGAGCACTCATTATCCGGAGAGCTTGTACCCAACCGCGCCTCAGCTACCAAGCCTGTCCCGCACAGCAAGAGTGGAGGTGCCCCTGGCCTGGCCGCCCCTGAACAATACGGGTGCCCGCCCACAACGCGCGGGGCCGAGGAGGTGCTCAGTCCCCTACCCGAGGTGGATCTACCCAAAGGGCCAGCCTTGAAAAACATGAACATCGACCACCTGGAGGCTGCCGAGGAGGAGGGGTGGGACTGCCTGGGCACCAGGCCCATCGAGGTCAGGATGGTCGAGTTCTCACGGGACTTGCCCCCGCTTCTGGAAGACCAATGGAGGGATTTACTGCAGAGAACGGCACGGACGTGGTCGGCTCCGAAGCCCCCGAAAGCTGGGGCCCACCCCGACTGTGCCCCTTCCTGACGAGCTTGGTGGCAACTTGGTGGCGCCTACCTACCTCCCCATCAACTTCCACTGGCAGGGCAAGCGGTTGGCCGCCGCCCGCGTGGTTGCGGAGCTCTGTGTTCACTCGACGGACCCCTCCATGCTGCCCAACTGGCTCGAACACTCAAACGAACGGCCCCTGCGCGGCCTGTCCCTGTACACCATTGGCTTCCTGACGCAGGCCAGTTCAGACAAGCTCACCTCGGGGTCATTCCAAGAGGTTGCCAAGGACGCTCCAATTCGAGTCACGCAGGAGCTGTGCAGTCAGGTCGGCACAACCCCGATCAGGAGGCACAGCAACAGTGGCGGGTCGGCAGGCCTTGGTGTGCGGCACCCCCCGCTCTCCCCTGAAGCCCCCGACTGGGGCAACGATGTGGCGCGCTCCCCTGCGTCGTCTGTGCGCAGCGGCACCAGCCCACTCTGCAACCGCCGAGCAACCTCACGCTCCCCTGTCGACGCCCGCACCCGGCTCGCCAGCCCCGCTCCCGTCGCTCCCCCCCACAAAACAGCCAACCCGGGCAGCCCACCTCCAGCCGCGAGGGTCGGCGTTACTACGGGCCGCGGGGATGAGGGATCGGACGCCTCTGCAGGTGGCCCCCGAGACGGCTTACCCTCCGCGCAACCAGGACACCAAGGGGCACCAGTCGCTCTGTCTCCGATCACGAGCTCCGAGCCACCGGTGGTGGTTCACTCCCCGGGCAGCCCCGAGAACGCTGACAAGCCTTGCAGCCCC